ATATCTCATTAAATACATTTAAATTATAGAAATACAATATTCCAAAACAAAAAAATACATTAGCAGTATCAGGATTATCCTCTTTCAATACAGTTCAATCGCAGCAATCTTAACGTGGGCATTCAAAAATGGCATTCCCAAATGTGGCAAGATCTGAGTTGTCAAATGTGTCTATGGAAATTAGTCATGTATTTCTTTGTAACTGAATGTATGTAGACCCTTACTTAATTTGTAAATAGTAACAGTGTAATTGACGTAAGGATAATTTAAATATCCCCGCACCCCAAACTGATATGAAACATTATTTTATTTACTAAGGTTACGCAATTTTGACATTATCTTGGTGAAGTATTTGTAACCTTACTAGCTGATGTTGCTAGATCAAATAAATAACTTTGCAACGGGTACGTTACACTCGGTTCGTTTCTAAACGGAAGGGATAATTAAGTGCAGAGAGGATGTGATGAAAATTGTTTAAATTTACTGACAATATTTCTACTTTCGTTTAGCCCAAAAGCAACAATGATATTAAATGTGTAAATTTTCGTTTGGACAGTTTAATTCAAAACAACTTGTGACCAGCTTGTGTATCTCCTCTTCTGCGGCAATGACTCCTGTCTCGGAGTTTTCGCCAATTTCGCCGATCCTTTAAGCGAATGCTGAGATGCAACCTTGTTTTTATTGTGGACATAAATGGAACTTCTCTATATGTGCTCGTCTTCTAGAGTTCTGCAGGAAATATAGTTATTAAAATTAATGTTCTCCGGGTGCTTACGGCAGGAAGTCCATTCCTTCACGAACGGCACGATAATAGCAAATTCTTAATCTGATTTGCGATTGCAAGTAGTTTTAATTACACTGGAGCAATTGTTTCTTCTCAATTCTTGTCAGAAATGCTTATTTCTCTCAATATTCAGAATTCAACTTGTATTTGTGTTAGGTAAGGTATCCCAGAATTTAAAGAAAACAAAAACGTACACAGAATATACTTCTCCCCATAGTACGTCAGACACTGTTTGTAACGTAAAATACTCTTGAGAGAGTGGTGCAGGTACACGTAAGCTTCCGCGGCTTGATTCATGAGTTCTTGGCTTCCGGGTGAAGCCGCGTCGTTAGCTGAGAGCAATGTGTCATTACCCTGAAGAAGCCTGCGACATGACAGGCGAAACGTCGGCCTCTCAGCCAACGACGCGGCGTCACCCAGACAGCCAAGAACTCAAGAATGGTGCAGGTCTCATTTTCGTTAAAATGCATGATATTTTGAACTGCAAAAATTTTTAATTTTTCTTAATGCTTTTGTAACAATAAATGTCTTCATCAAAAACAGATTTTCAAATAAGATCCGGTTCAATTTTTAAAAAATATAAAAATTTTTGCGTAAAAGGCAATTTTTAAATTTTAAACAATTATTTTCTTAGAAACTGTTCCAAATTGCTTCTTTAAGTTTACTGCTCGAATGCATTAAAGGACGGTAAAAGCATGGTGTTAGTATCATTTCGGGTAAAATCTTAATTTTCGAAAATAGCAAAATGTTAGTGTTTCAGAACTACAAAATTGAAGATTGAGATTTTTGCGTTAAATCAAATCTGCTGAAGCCATATAATTAATCTAATGGAAAATATCGGGTACAAAAGAAGAAAATCAATGGTTAGTGAAGTGCAAACGTCTCCAACACTATATTCTTGAAATTATTCAAAGTATTGTCACGGAAAGAACAGGTTGTCATCAGAAGACTAAGAACGGAACACACCGAATTAAAGCATACTCATCTAATAACTGAAAAAGTCCTCCTAAATGGGACCATTATGAAGTTCTAAAGGCACAACACATATTAATTTACTGCCCACTATAGAAAAGTACCAGGCAAAAACACCGGCACAACATTCTTAATTCTAAAGATTATCAAAAGAAAATGATAGATTTCGCTAAAGAAATCATTATTTACCATAGCCTATAGAGAAACACTATACTCATGTTGATTGTTTTATTTTCATAGTGACTTTGATCATGAATAGGTTTCTCAATTTTATATTGCACTTATAAAATGTATTTATCTGTTTAGTCGCTATTGATCTCGATGTCGTCACCTTTATAAATAAATAGATGAAATATGTTCTAAAAAATCGGTTTTAAAAAAGGTCATGTACAAATGATTGTAAAAACGAGTAGTATTGCGAAACTTCTGCTTGAATTTAATGAAAGTTATAAAAAAATTCTCAAAAACCGCACCAATTTTTTTTACTAATAGAACAAGGGACGCTTAAAAGAATGGCGAAGGTCTCATTTTCGTTGAACTCTCTTAATTTTCGAAAATTGTTAAATAATGCGAGAAAGTATGATTTGTAGCACCACTAGTTCAATATGTGGTCTATATACTACCATACTCTCTCTAACAACCGTAGCGTCCGTATCAACTACTCCTGCAGATAAAACCAAAGTATTAGGTGAATACTTTGACGCAACCCCCACCCCCTAGCCTTGCGAAAACCCCATTCATGATAATTAACTACTCGAAGAAATCCACCGAACTAGAACAACAATCTCAAACTGTATATCTCCAAGAATAAGACGCCCAAAATTTATGTCTCCCACCGAAATTGTAAATCTTTTATCTGTCGCTACACCAAGAGTTTCCCATGGCCACGAACCAATTCCAACATACGTACTTAAATGCCTTCCATACACAGCCATTTTAATGTAACATCAATATTCAATGCATCTCTTCATGTCATACTTCGCTCGCAATGGAAACGCGTCCACATTATTCCCATTCTGAAACCAGGCAACCCGTTATGTTATTGCCCAATTAGCCTACTACCCTCCTTAGGAAACCTGTTTGAAAAATGTAGCCTCACCAGCTTACTCTCCCATCTCAGTTCAGTCCAAGCCATATCTCCGCATGAATTTGGTTGTCAACCACTACTTTCTACTACTCTTATTCATTTTATCAAAAATGTTAAGACTAACCGAAAATAAAATCGAAGGCTGCCATGAAAAGTAACACACAGTCGCAATCTTCCTCGATGTAGCTAAAGATTTTGACACCTTCTGGCATCCAGGACTATTATTCCAAGTTATTCACATCGGAACCCCCCACCCACTATCTTATTCATTTTATCAAAAACTTCCTTGCAGATCGCACTTTTTTAGTTCGCCTTCCTGGAGCTCTTTTATCATCTTTCCCCATAAAAGCAGGAGTATCCCAAGGATCTGTTCTCTCTCCAGCACTATTTAACCTTTATATCGCCAATATACCATAACACTGTTTGCTGATGATACCGCTATATATTCCGCAAACCGTGATATTACCATCGCGCAAGAAAACCTGCAACATCACCTCTCCCAGTTTCCCGACTGGTCAAGAAATGGCACATCCGGGTAAACCTAGCAAAAAAATCAGGCCAAAATCTAGGGGCGAAAAAATCTTCCCCCTCTCAAGTATCAAAGAGAAAATATATCTTTGCTCCCAAACAACAAGCCAGTCAAATATCTTGGTGTACTTTTTGATAGAAGGCTCACTTGGAAATCAAATATTCTTCACAGAATAATTCTGGCCACCATAAGAACCCACCAATTACATCCCATTCTCAAACGTCTTTACCTCTGGGATTTCATGTTGCTTCTCATCTGTACCAATCAACTATTCGTCCAATGTTATTCTACACTGCTCCTATCTGGGCTTCAGACAGCAAATCAAATATCCGAGGAATTCAGATTTTCCAAAATAAAGTTCACCGAAGCATTTCAAAAGCTCCCTGGTTTGTACTTGTTATGTAATTTCCAGTTGCATAACGAACTCGGCATCACTCCGATCTCCGACCAATTCTCCCTCTTATCCACTCGCTTCTATCCTAAAATTCCCCACATTCCTGTGCCACATATTTCAAAATCTGAAAACACAATCTTCACCACAACTGACTAAAGCGGAAACTACGGCGACAGTTCTTCGACACCCCCCCCTCACCGATCATGTACCCGATGTGGTTTCGCACATTCAATCCACGTGTACTCCATGTGAATCTGTGAATAATGTTTCTTAAAGATTTCTTAAAGAAGGCTAATATAATTCAATGTACCTTCAAGTATCGAACTCGCTGCTGATGGCCTTCGGGCCAAGCAGAAATAAATGAAAAAAATGTGTTAATTGTTGAATACGATGCTGATACATTTTAATACTAAAATAACTATGTATTGTTGTTGGTTACGAATGGTGTCAAAGTCATATGTGGTAATGTATTGCATACACGTGTGTGTGTGCTAGAGAGGAGAAGATGGGGAAGATGTTAGTAAAATTTTTTGCGTGTTTTGTAAGATGTGTTTTGAAGATGTTTTGTAAGATGATGAAGAAAAGGTCGCGCGCGGTCCGTTACCTGTTTTAAGTGTACTACTCCGACATTCCCCTGGCATTGACCAGAGAAACTTCGGAAAACTACCGATCTGAGGAGCCACCCTCGATAATTCTTCCCCAGACCGTCTACCTATGTATATATTTAGCTAGAGTAGACAATTTTGCCACCGTTGGGACTTGAACCCTAGGACCCTGGCCAGAAATACTGCATTAGCAAGCCTTGTTGACCTGACTAACTCAGAACCGTCCGAAATGCTGGTGAGCATAGATTTAAATTGGGTGCATGGAATGCTACAAGTACTTCAATCCAGGAGTCACTTTTTGAATTTGTGAAACGTTTATTCGTTAGTCGTCATCGTTCTGCACTTGTGTTATGTAATCAAAAGCACCCTTTTAAACATTGAAATAATTGAATCTTTTATGCCATTACTCTTACTGATAAGTATAAATAGATTCCAATAGATTTTTTTCATAAAATGTGGGTGGTTTTAATTCTGTTTTTATGTGGTAACTGTACTTTTTACAGTGTTAATGGCATCTATTATAACAATAACATTACTGAACTCGCATTAATTTTAGACTTTTAGTTATAAATTAAATGTGCTACTATTTTCATTTTTATAGTAACAAAAATGTCGTTTCCTATTTGCAGGATATTCTAGCACAGAAAGACAGATGGACAGAAAAAATGAAAGACACGCACTACTTCAGAAAATGAGGAATATACAACTGCAGAAGGTGAGAAGAAAGATGCTATTTGGAAAAAATGTTCGTTCAGTAATGTAAATATGAATAAGTATTTGGAAATTAAGATAGACTTGAACGCAGAAAAGCAGAACTATGAACACTAAAACGTGTATTTTCAAACAAAAGAAGGACTCAGGGAATTTAGTGAATCCCAATAATTGCGTGGAACGTTCATTGTCTGGTCTGCATCAATATCCTCTTGCAACCTCTAGTTGTAACTGAATCAGAAATATATCGGACGCCTGTTTTTTCTTAATATTAATTATTCGGAATACAACATAATTTACGTTTTAATAAATTAAGAATGTGATTGTTAACTGTAGTGAAAATGCGATTTTTAACAACTGTCAAATTGCTGTTTTGAAATGTTCAGCTCAGGCCCAGTTTGAGAGCCCTGCCCGTCCGTTTTGGGGCATATTACGAAATTGTTTATAAAACTGTTAATTGCTGCAAAATTGGTAATTCGCTGCATCCGACAATGGAACAACGAGATTCCTCTCCGCTTTACATTTGCCAAAGTTGGAAATTGTTTATACATTTTTAAAGGTTTAAAATTTTCATTTCATCATTGTTTCATCTGAATCACCTTTCAACGAGATACAAAATTCGGCCAACCGATCGGCAGCCTCTCGACATATGTCATCGTTTGAAAGACTTTAGCATTTCATCGCCCCAATTATTTGCTCTCAATCCTTTGGCATTCCGCTCACAGGTGCACTGTAAATCAGGTTTGCTATGTCTCTCTCTGTTGTCCGCTACATGCGCATAATGTGGAGGTCGGGGCAGATATCGATGGGCATATGTCTCGGCAAAACAGTGACTCCGAAATGTTTGTCATTATATTTTTTCGAAAAACCAAGACCTAACGTTTGTTGGTGTTATCGCAGTAAGAATTTCCGACTTACGGCAGCTTAATAAAAAATGCTGCATAATATCTATGTCTGTTTCTTAACCTTTAAATATTGTCTTTTTATTGTAAACACACACAGTAAAACTCCCGTTTCAATATTTTAACTCGTTTACGTATTCTTAGCTTATAAAAGAATTCTCTGGGAAATGTAATTACGCCGAAACAAGCTGCTTTATGCCGAGCAAATCCAGAAATGTCTTAGATTGTTCTGGATTGTTGTAAATTGCGTAAATTGTTTATTATTTACAAAAGAATTCAGCATATTTCTTCAGAAAAAATTAAGCGAGAAATAAAAAAGCACCCAAATTACACAAGTCAACAGCCTTTTTATCTCTTGCTTAATTTTTATTTCTAATTTTTGACATTTACTCCGTAGACTCTCTCTCTCTCTCTCTCTCTCTATATATATATATATATATATATATATATATATATATATATATATATATTAGCGGATCTATTCAGAATATTCTAAGAAATTTCTCTAAATGGATTTTTTATTTGTGTATGTTTTTAAGCAACTGTTCGATTCCCCTCACCAACGATTGGTGCAATTCTCAACCTCTCTTCAGAATTTTCCGGAAGAATTGTAGAAAGAAACGTCTTTCAATGCACCTACGAGTACATACGTGAAACGCTGCAATACCATCTTTTCTTCATTTACACGAATCACTACGAACTGATTATTCATTACTTTGGAGATATTTAAACCAGGTTTTGTAAAGAAACTAAAAAACTAATAAGTATTTCCATCGGCTCATTTTCATGTAACGTTTTGTGCCGGAAATGGGCGAACCGGCCAACTGTAAAATGTTTAAAATTTATTTCAGTTCTAAACTTGCGATGCAGAAATAAAACTTTTAACATGAAAATACCCGCCGGAGGCTAGTATAACTTAATTTAGTGTATTGCATTTTACACAAATCAGGATTGTCAGCAAATGCTCTACAAATAACTTTAAATGTCTTACACACGACCTAGAGGTGGCTCATGGCTTGCCCCGTGGTGGGTGTGGTTTTCCTAACTTCTAACTCAACTAACCAACCGAAATTTATCTCAGCGTATTTTTACTTTCTCGCTAATTAGACAATATAGCGAAAGTATGTTAATGCTGTGGCGAATTTGTGAAAAAATAGCAAATTTTCGATAGAAAAACTCTTATTGTCGGGCCCTGGTATCCCAAAAAACTGGATTGATTTTGTTCCTGTATATAGTCAGTTTCTTCCTCTGGCACGTTGTGTAGTCAGAATCCATATTTGGTGGGTTCTTGATACCGAAAAATCGATTGATCGGCGATCTGTGAATGACGTTAGCGGCTAAACCGCCACAAAGATTTTTACCAGAATTGACATTCAGCGGAATGATCTGACTGATGTCGCTTCCTTTTGAATTCTGAACGGATATTTTGATTGTTGGGAGAACTCTACATAAAACCTCAACAACAGTTCCAAAATGTTCTCAGAAATAGCTCCAAATATTTTCTTTAATTTTTTTCTTGTGATAAATCAAAAAAATTGCGTTGTTTGTTTTTTCATTGCACTCCCCGAATTTTTGACAATTGTAAAAGTTCAAAATTTTCCTTCTTCCTACATCTACAACCATGACTGTTAAATAATGAAGTTCTGTAATGCTCCGAGAAAAAAAAAACAGCGAATTTTTGACAGACAAATTCTTATTGAACGGCTCTGGGAACGAAAAAGTTGATAAATCCAGCAACTAAATACAGAAAAAAATTTCTTAACACGTGGTATAGCAAGAATCCATGTTTCATGGGTCCTTGATACCAAAAAATCGACTGACGGGAAAGCGTCTGTCTGTGCTGCTGTCTGTGAGCAACGTACTATAATAATCTTAATTGAATTTAGCCTAATTAGGATTTCTCTCTTAAAAATACGATTTAAATGTAATATGAAAGAAAAATGCAGCGATGTCTCTTTGAGTGTTACAATGTTCTCTACGTTCAATAAAAAGGTATATTGAACTTCAGTAAAATCAGGAAAAATATATAAATATACAGATATGCATAAGGTAATGATATCGTAGTTTCGAATGTATTCATAATGGGATATATTGGATGACATGTAGTTCTGGATCTTCAATTTATTTGTGAGCCTATTCTTGCTTGTCTGTATGATGTGCTGTAAATAAAAAAACCTTCATAATAGTATTCCTTCATTTACTATTTCATATTATTTTAACTTTTTTAAACACTAACATACGAAGTTGGAACAGTTTTTGAAAGCCAGTTGGCAGCAAAAACGAAGCGATTTAGCGGTCTTTCTGTTTACTGTTTTCGGGGGCATCTGTAACAGATTAATTTCCGTTTGAAGACTTTATTATGAAGAAACTAATTATGGTTTTGTTTGGTTGTAAGTCTTCATTTAAAAGACTATTTAATATTTGTAATAAACTTAGAATACACATGGAGACGGCGAAAAATAATTGTATGTATATGAAACAGAAGCAATAGTGTTCCATAAAGATCGCCTTATAAGAACTTTCACAAAACCACAACTAACAATGAAAACAAAAACAGTTCCCTTTCCGGCAAGAATGGCGATTTGAGCAAAAATTGATTAGAAAATATGTCTCAATTGCGGCATGCGCGTATTGTTGCCAGATTGATTTAGATGTGCTGATATAGACAGAAATTACGGGATAATAATATTACGTAACAGTTACTAAGACGGAGAGACTATGCGCTGTTTTAGCACCACAAGTTTTCTCTTTGTTTCCTCTTAAGTAACAAAGAATGAAGAGAAATTGGTGCTGATTTCATTTTCGGCGAACTTTTATATTTTCAACAATTTCAAACAACAACAAAAAATTACATTGCAAAAGTACATCGTGGAGATTTTTTGTTAACTAAAACATGTTCTTAACTTGTGGTTCTATAACAGCACACTTCCTCGCATAATTTCTAAGCGCTCCGTTATATTATACTATTACTTGAACATGCAAAAGTGTTTTCAACAAGCAAAATATTTTTTTCGCAGCGAGTCGCGATTTCTGACCCTTGGAATTAACTTGCCGTCAGCCATATCTCTACACTGCAAATGGGCTATAACATTCGAACTCGCACTAACACTTAAAAATGTAATTTTCTTGACCAAAGAGCTAGAAAATACTACATAGAGTAGCTGAAGCGCATCCATCTTTCCAGCAAAATGAAGCTGTTTTTGCAGTCAATGCAGCGCCCTCCGGAGGTATTTTAGTATTCTGTTTGGCGCTGCTTAAGGCTGGTTGTGCGCAGGCCCCACATAATATAAATCCTCTTACTCAGTGTCTCAGGATCAGAAACCAATCATTTAAAAACGAAATACAAATGTATAAGACCGAATGGAGAAATTTTAAAACCACGTTGCCTGGTGCATCGGCTATTGTCATAAGAATGGAAGTTGTTGAAAAGTTATTGTAGTTATCATAAAGCGTGAAAGTGAACGATATTGCAATAAAAGCAAACAGATCACAAGAAAAACGAATATTTTGATTTTTGAGGTTACTTTACATGGAGTCTCAAATACATTTTCAAAATGTTCTCACAAATGTCTCCAAATTTTTCGATTAAACTTTTTCTTCGGATAGCGTAAAGGACGCTTAAGATAATGGTACAGATCTCATGTTCATTGAAATACTTGCTTTTTCAACAATTGCAAAAGTGCAAGTTTTTGGGCGTTTTTCTTCAACTACAATATTGAATATGGAGATTTTTTTCGTTAATGAAATCTATCCTTTAAAGATAGATCATGAAATAAGATAGATAGATTTATTATTTCTGCGGGTAGGTATAGAACCTGGTGGCAGAACACTACAATTTTCATATTACAACTAAGAATAGTAATACACTGTGATTTTAAAGCATTTTAAGGCAATAATAACAATAATAACTAACAGCATTACCTATACACTTTATGACTGCCCTGCACGGAATTTTTAACTAATAAGTACACTGCACTTCACTTCCTTCACTACACTTGCATTTCACATCGCTACACTACACTTGCACTTGACTTCTCTATTGCACTACACTTCTCAACACGTCACGACACTTCAATTCAACTACTACTTTAAATATAATTCT